CCCCAAAACCCCAAAACCCCTTACTACAATTAGATTTTAAATTAGTTTAGTGTAAATAATTAAGAAATCAGACATCATTTACTTCTAATAATCCATTTTTCTAACTCTTACTCTTATTTGATTTCTTTTCAATCAATCTATTAATAAATTATTTCTCATCGCTATCAAGGATAGTCATAGCCATAATAAATATCATAGGGTGTTAAGTTTAAATTTCAAGAAGTACTTCAGCAACCTCAACTTCAACATCATTTTCAAAGCAGTATTCAGTCAAAGATAAACTCAAAATCTTTAGTATTCCTGATAGATTTTAATTGTTTTTACCTATAAGGAATAAATGATTACTAGTAAGAATATGTATAAAAGTCTCTATATGATCATAATTATCATGACTTTTCTTTTCTAAATTTATAATATGTATTAGCCAATAGCTTAGTAGGGTTTGAATATTTAATAAAATTTGTTACTCATCTTAGTAATCTCCAGAAATCAATTATTTCAATACTACATTCACAATGTTGATGCAGTTAGCTAATATTTTATATATCATTTAGTCATGAAGACTTTGTATTTGATTGTCTATAATAATCGCTTGAATATTTTGCAATATTGTCTTGATATCTTTCTCTGTTTTTGTAAAAGCAGATAATTACACCATTAAGTTGAGGCCTTTTATTGAAATTTTTAGGAGTTACTTATCATCTTTCTCTGTCATAAAATTCAAGAAGACTTCAAAGGAGCTGTACATTATACTAACAGCTGAAATCATTGAATACTTCAAGACTTTATATAGGAATTTTAAGGTAAGAGTTTTGAAAAGCTTGATGGGCTAGTTATTTTTGAGGGTCTTTTGTATATACTGGTTGTACATAACATTTTATAGAGATACTGTTTGATATGGAATGACCTATATCATAGCGAAAATTATGTTCATTATGCTTTAGTTTAGAGACTCTGATTAAAGCTTGAAACTTATGTTTAGTTGATTCAACAGGATCTAAGAAAATGTTATCAAATCAGGAGATATTGAATTTTCGATAAATTCCTCATGATTGTTCAATATAATATGGATGAGATCCTTGCTTATCTGTATTTTTTCATTTTAAATCAATTTCTAGCTAGTTAAGCATTGAATAAAGTAGTATTACATTATTATTCTAGCTTCTTATAGCATTGATTCCTTGTAAAGGAGGAAGAATACTTTCCTTAAAAGTTTAGATAGAATCGTTTTTATGGGTGCATAGTAGTCTTAATGCTTTTAGATGACCTTAATCAATTCAATAAAGAGCGTGATGTCAGAAAGTTTAATCTCAATAGGTATTTTTATTTTAATTCCTTTCTCTATAATCTCATTGATATTTTTCAATGATTATCTTAATGAAGCTAAGGCTTAGTTAAATCTCTGCTCGCTTGAATTGTTAAGGTCAAATTGCAAATCAATCTACGAGAGGATTTATATCTAATCCCTGAGAATAGCGATTGATAATATATAAATCTATTGAGATTTCAAAATTTCGCTAAAAATATCATTCCTTAAGAGTATCCTAGCAGATTTTAAGACTTCCTCCTAATTCATTTTGAGTTTTAGCATTGCATGCAACTTCATGTTAAACAAGATCAGATTTTGTTTGTTAATATTTTTCTCTTAATTTATGGCAATTTTAGAAAATACCAATATAGATTCTTTGTTTTCACTATCCAATACTTTTTCTACTAACTTATTTATGATGGTTTCATCAGTAACCTGTTTTAATATGTATTGCAATGAATTTAATAGCCAGATATGATTTTCTTGGTCATTCATTAGTTTATATACTGCATTAGCTATTTACGCGAATGCTAATTACAATTTACTTGAATCATTTTGATTTTCTTTAGAATCTCCCATCTCCTTGATAAATACAATAAGCGTGAAGTATACTTCCTTTTGAACTTAAAGCTAATTCAGATTGAAGTTTTGATGGAGAAATTACAGAATCTAAAGTCCATAGTATTCAAAAAGACAATGATCACTAATCGTCAAGATATATTTGAGAACTTTGATAACTGATTAAACGATAGCTTCATCTTGCTTGTAAAATTAGCACATTTACATAACCATAATGACTAATGGATAGATTTCTGAAATTTAAGAGGTATCTAGGTATCTTGATAAAACTAAAAGCATGAGTATACCTCCCTGTCTTACATTTTTGTCTTTGTCATTTATTATTGAATCTTGTGTTATTTAAATCAAGTAACTCTAGCATTATTTCTTATTCTTAAACTTCTAATCTATTGATAAAATGAATTCTACAATGAATGCCATCGTGTCATCACTAATAAATTCAGAGTCTTATTTGAGTTTCAATACGACAAGCTTCAAGCAGTTATCTAGAATCTTATTTACAATTCTTTCGTTTAGGGGTACCTTGATTGAGTTATAAACATTTGAGAATATTCTAAGCACGGATTCTACTTCTTAATGCTTTTGAATGTCAGCTTTTTAAACCCACATTAATATTGTATTAAGATGATCTGAGTAGATTATTGGCTCAATATCTGATATTCTTAAGTAACCCTCTAGATATTCTTGCTGGCAATGTTGTGCAGAAAAAATGAGTGAAAATAGATCTTCAACATTGAATCCTTCTTCACATACTAGTACAATATCAATAAAAAGATTAATTCTAGCCAATGGATCACATCTTTTTATTAAATTTCTCAAAAACATAAATTCTGTTTCAATCAATATAAGCTCAGATTTAATCAATTAGCGCACAAGACTGATTTGCTTATCTGTAACTTTATCTTGATTTGACTAAATGTTTATTACATCTCTGAAATCTATTTCGAAATATCTAATAAAAATGCAAAACAATTCACTGAGCTATTCCCTATTATACTCAAACATATCTTGAGTCTTATTGATGAATTTGGAGATTTACGGAGTTAACTCTTTGACAACATAGCCAATTATTTCAGGCTCCATTAAAAATTGGTCGTCAATGTTTCTCTTTATTAATTTGACAGAAATATCTACAAGAAATTGATCATCCTTTTTTAACTCCGAGTGATTGAAGATTACATCAAAGATATTCCTCAAAAAATTAACTTTATTCTATTGTTTTATAGTTTTTAGCAAGGATTGAGCCATTATTCTAGTGATTTTTTCTCCCTTGCCAAGTGATCTCAAAGCATGCTTTATCTCTTCCATTGATTAATTGTTTTTTCGAAAATAACTTAATTATTATTAAAATTGTATTGGCGACTATTTAAAAATTTGCATACTTGGGGTTTTGGGGTTTTGGGGTTTTGGGG